TGGTTTTCTATTTCTTTCTTCTATTATTTATCAATTTTATATTCATTCATTCTTTTTATTTCTTTTTTATTAGTTCTTGAGTATTGTATATTTCTTTATTATTTCATTTGTGTATTATTTTTTTATATGTTTTATTGATTTTATGTGGAATAAAATATTGAATAATTCAATATTTTCATTCTTAATTATTCGTTATTTATTGTGAAATGTTGTGTATATTTATTATATTAAATTAATATGATGAATAAATATCAATATTATTGTTTATTTGATTTTAAAAAATAATAAATGAATATGAAATAATAAATGAAATGAAATAATGAAGACAATGAAATGATAATGAAATAGAATAATCTAATATTGAACAAATAAAATAAAGAATATATTGAATATATCATTATTGTTACTTTATTATTTATTATTTCAATTATTAAATATTAATAAATTATTATTCATGAATATTTAATTGATTGATATTTTACAATTTCATTTTCATTTTATTTAATAAATGAAATATAAATAATAAATGAATGAATAATAATTTAATATATGAAATAATAAAAAGAAAAGATAAATAATAAAGAAATATGATGTATTTAATATATAATATAATTTATTATCAAATATAATAATATCAAATGATGATTTATTTTTATTTCAAAATATTTTGCATCCATAAAAATGTTGCTAAATATTTTGCATCATTAAATTTTGCATCATTAATTTTTGCACTTTTTTTATTTGTTTCAATAAAATTTGCATCCTTTATTTTTTTCATTCATTTCTTCTTTTATCATCTCTTTTGTTTTATTACACTTTATCTTCTTTATTTTTATATTCTCTCCTTTCTACTTTTATTCTTTCTTCATCTTCATCTTCATCCACTTTTTACTTTCATTTTATTCTTTTATATCATTCATTCTCTTCTTTTTCAATTATTTGCTTTTTTTCGTTGCCGTGTATTTCTATTATATAGAAATAATAAAACACAGTTATTTTCTCAATGATATGAATAATATTATTAATTGGTTTTTGATCAAATAATATATCTTTTAAGTTATCATTTTGAATACTATTTAATACTCATTGAACAATTTGATATTCTTAATAAGAAAATAGTATTTTCTAACAATTTTAAGTTAATATCAATTACATCAATAAAAAAAAGAAGAAAATAAGTAACTTAAACAATTAAATAAAAATTATTCAAATGAATATAATAAAGAATATATAATTCAATCAAAATAAAACAGTCGGATGATTATAAAAATACTTCTTGAAATCTATTTTTATATTTTTAAATCAAAAGTATTTTAAAATCAATTTAAGTTTTTATAAAAAATGAATAAAAAAATGGAATTTTCAAATAAAATTGATGATGAATTTTTTCTTTTCAATGAACTTACTGTTCATTTGCAGTAATTTATTATGAATAATAATATCAGAAAAGTCTTTTTATCAATTGCGTTTTCTTTCCTTGTTGTTATGTATATGTTCTTTCTATCCATTCCAATACTTCATTTAATCTCATTAATTTCAACCAAAACAATTTCTAAAGAAGAATTATGTAATAAATACACATGGGCTAGAAGAATTTCATTAATACTAGGAATTACTTATGGATTAGGAATAATGGTAATTCCAAAATTAAGAAGATGTGCTTTATATTCTGCTTCTATTATGATATTCACTTTAAACATGATTCCCTTTTTATTAATTATTGATTGCATTGGACTTATTCTTATTCAATTCTATTCATTACCATCTTCTTTTTTCATATCATTTATTACAGCAAATCATCTTCCAAATTATTACAGAGTCTCAATGTTTCTTTTTGTTATTATTGGTTCATTATTGGTTGATGCTTATTCACTTTGGAAAGGACATAGATTAGAGTATCGTCATTTTACTTTCCATTCATCTAAAATATGAAAAGAATTTTCGTTTGTTCATATCAGTGATATTCACATTGGAAGTAGATTTCTTTCTCATTCTCAGGAGATTGTTAATAAAATCATTCCTCTTCATCCTAACTTTGTTGTCATCACTGGAGATTTAACTGATTCACCAAATATTCAAATAGAAGAATTAATGCCATTCAAGTCATTAACATCACAATGTCCAGTTCATTTATCCACTGGAAATCATGATTATATCACTGGTATTGAATATCTTAAACCTATGCTAACAACTTGTGGTATTATTTTATTGGAAAATACATTAGTAATAGAGGAAGAACTTCAATGTTCTATCATTGGAACTAATGATGCTCAATCAGAAAAGAAGTATATTAATGAAATGAATAAGGTTTCAAATGAAGTTAATGCTAATACATTTAATATTATATTACAACATCGTCCTCATGGATATCAACAAACATGTGAGAAAGGAATATATGATTTAATGTTATCAGGACATACTCACGTAGGTCAATTTGCACCATTTAATATTCTTGTTTATTTATTCTTTAAAAAAGCATATGGACTTTATACAATCAAATCAAAAGATAATAAACAACAAATGTATCTTTACAATGTATCTTTACACACATCCAGGTACTGGTGCATGGGGACCTCATATGAGAAGTGCAGGAACAAATGACATTACAATCTTTCATATTAAACCATAAAGTATTTATAACCAAAAATTAAATAATTTTTTTATTTGTCTTTTACTTCTTTTATAATATCATTAGAATGAGCCAATGAAAAAGGAGAAAAAACATTCCATCCACTTCCCATTAATTCTTCAATATTGTTCCAAATACCATTATTATAAGATGGAAATGGATATTTATGATATAAAAAATAATTATATCTTTCATTTTCAATAGATTCCATAGTAGTTTGGTTCTTAATAATATTTAAAGTATATAAATAGCAAAGATGTACTAAAATAAATGAATAACAAATGAACAACATAATAATAATAAAATAACAAACATAATGATATAAATAATGCAATAACAATCACTAAAAGAAAAATATCAATTAAATAATTACAAATAAATAAAAATGGTAAAAATTGATTTAATAAAATGATAGTAATATATAAACTTGTATCTTTAATTATACTCCATATTAATATAATTATTCCAAAAAATATTGAAATGACTATATAATAGAGAAATAATATAAAAAATTTATAATTATTTCTTCCTATACAATTACCAACCCAACTACAATGATGATCTTTCATATCAATACATCGTTTACATTTTTTACAATGATACATTCTTTCTTTTTTAATTTTTTGACATTTATTACAATATCGTACTGGATATCCAATATCAACACAAAACATGTGATGTTGTTTTGCATATTCACTTCTTTCTTTTGCCTCTTTAATTTCTTGTTCATTTTCTTTATATATTATATTTGATCCATCTCCTGGATCAGTGAAATGAACTTTAAAAAGTGAAACCATTGCAATAATGAAAAACAATAATCCTATTATCATTATGATAATTCCATAAATTGAATTAAATATCTTCCATAATAAAACATTCATTACACACTTTCCAAAAATAATACAAATAATAAATACTACAATTATTGGTGTAATTTGTTCATAAATACCTTTGTATTTATTTTTATTATGTTTTATTTTCTTTGGTTTAGGAATAAATGGTATTAATACATTTTCTTCACAATTCATTTATGATTTGTTTCTTTAATAAGTTCTTTCTTTATAAAAAAATTTTTACTATTTTTAACAAAAATAAAATTAAGCTTCTTCAATTCTACTCTGATTCTCCTTCTGATGATAAACTCTTATTTTCTTGTTGTGTTTCTCCTTGATTTAATTCTTGTGTTCCTTCCTTTTTATCTTCTACACTTAATGTTTCCATTGGAACATATGACTTACGTTTAGAATTCTCATTTACACATAATGTATCAATACATGTATTAGCTTCTCCATCAGTATATCCTTTATATACTTTTGATAACATAATAGCAACTTCTTGAAAAGATGGTCTATCTCGTGGGTCTTGTTGCCAACACCTTTCAATAGCTTCAGAAAATAAACACCCATTCGGTATTTCAAGTCTCTTTCCTGCTCCAACAAATTTAAGAATTGACTCCCCATCTGGGAATTTTATTGAGTCATATGGATCTTTACTTATCCAAACTTCTAACATACAAATAGCAAATGAATATACATCTGATTTTAATGTCATTTGTTCATTAACTTCATCTTTTTGTAATGTCATTTCTGGTGCCATATATACAGGTGTACCAATATGTTGAATTCCTAACTTTTGAGATGATTCAATAAATGAACGAGAAGTACCAAAATCTGTTACTTTAGCTGTTACTGGATCAAATGGATTATTTGAAACAACCAAAACATTATCAGTTTTTAAATCACGATGAACAATATCGTTTTGGTGTAAATATTCCATTCCACGAGAAATATCTTGACAAAATCTAATCTTTAATAAATCATTCATTGTGTTTGTTTTCATGAATTTTCTTAATGATCCTAACGGACAAAATTCGGTTACAAGACATAACGTGTCTGGAGTTACAACACTTCCAATATAATTCACTACATATTGACATCGAATTCTTTCCATCATCCCAGCTTCTTGCATGAAATTAGGTAATAAATCTTTGATGTCTACTAAATCAGTTTTCATTAATTTAACTGCAACATCTACTCCTCTCCATTCAGCACGATAAACAATACCAAATGTACCTGAACCAATTGGTGGATGAATTAAATTAATTTCTTCATAATCAATCTTAGTAGATAATGCTGATTCAAGATTTAAATCTAAATAAACATAAAGTTTATTTAAACCTTTTACTTGTTTCTTCTTTCTTTCTACTGACTTTCCTTTTGAACCATCTTCTTTGTCTTTAGAATTATCTGTTTTTAATGAATGTAAATTCAAACTAGAGTTACTCCTGAGAGAAGAGCTTTTTGATTTTGAACTTCGTTCAGAAAATTCACTTGTATTTTGACTAGATTGTGATTGTAACTCTAATAACTGAGGATTTTCTTCAAGAAGTTCTTGCATTATCTGTTTAAATTTTCCATATCTGATAGTTACAGGTACTTTTTCTCTTAAAACACATGTGCAATTCACATTTATAACACACGTTACTTCACCAGTTTCTCCTGGACGTACACTTAAGATTGCAGGAACAAAAGAGATTGTATATTTTAAATAATCTCCACCATGGAAAATGAATCGAATTGGTTCATTCTTCTTATTTGTTACTCTGATAACTGTTTTAGTATCTTCATCTACTTCAACATGATTTTGGCAGTCACTGAAAAGAATTTCACTACTTTCAAAAGCAAATAATGCGTTTGGTTTATGTACATCAATATATTGAGCTCCATCTTTGTTAAATTTGATTACTGTAGATTCAATCAAAATCCTTTCATCTTTTTGTTGTTCTGAAATAATAAGTTTATTTAAGAAGATATACCTTGAAACAAAGCCAATAAGTAACAAGAGCCAAATGATTATCCATATAATAATTCCTCCTACAAATATTATTAATGATACAATAGATCGTCGTACTCTTTGGCATCCTACTGAGTGTGCTTCGAACCATCCAGCTTGACATTCACATTCATAACAACCTTCTCCACCATCACATTCTTCTCCTTTATCAAGTATGTTATTTCCACATTTATTACTTAAACAATAAATTCTTGGACTTTCATATGGACGATATCCCTCAACACAAACACAATGTTGACAACCTTCTCCACCATCACATTCTTCATAATCATTGATTTTTCCATTTCCACAGGTTGGAACAGCACAATACGTTAATCCATTAATTGTTAATGGAATATACCCATCTTCACATGAACATGTAGAATAGTCACAATTTGGGTCTGTGTAATTATCTCCTGAAATATTTTCACATTCTTCCCCTTCATCTTTTTTTCCATTTCCACATAATGAACAACTGTCTTGTTTTAAAACATATCCATCATTACAAATACATGTTTGTGATACTTTATCACAAACTCCATTTCCACCACAATTATAAGGACATAATGTTGTAATGGTTAAATTAAAAGCAGCACTATTATCTGTTATAACACTAGCAAAAATAAAATAGTCGTATTGACTTGACAATGTTACCATCATTGATGCATGATGACTTCCTGGTTCAGGACATCCTTTAACATCATATCTTTCACAAACAGCATTTGTTGGATGGTTTTTAGTATTATAACTACAATCAATTGTTGGCTTAACATTTCCGTTTGCTGGTACTTTAATTAAATGTAATGCAGTATAATAATCTGAAATCGAATTACACGTACTAATTAATACATTTCTATCAGCTCCTTGTAAAAAATACCATAACCCAATTTGTTCTGTAATAGTACATGCAGATGATGATTTTATTCCATGAGCTGTATTAACCACTGTTGTAAATCCACTTGTAGCAACTTCTGGCCAATTAACTACTGAATAAACATAAGAACATGGATGAACAATAGGTGTAAATAAAATAGGAACATTGGTAGTAAAATGTATTCCAAATGGTTTATGAACAAATAAATAATATGGAATATTTTCTGTTAGTTGTAATACAATTCTACTAAGTTTAACAAATTGTGATAAATTATCATTGTCTTCAATACATTCTTGTGCTTGTCCTTCTGTTATTTTTTTTATTGTTGGACAATTTGAAATAACAAAAACAGTATCTTCTCCATAGGCATTTCCTTGTGTATCTATAAATTCAATAGAAACAGAGTCATAATGCTTTTCTGTTTCTATTGCAACGTACTGTGTTTTCTTTGTTGTGACTTTAATCCAATACCCTGGTGCATATGGTTGTTGAATAGATAATCTTTTAGAACATGTATTTATTGACATTTCTTGTTTATCAGGAGTTAATGTAAGTGTTTGACTTACATCATTGATAGTAATAGAAAAGTTATGTTGTGTGGTATATTCTTGACATGACTTTACATCACTTTCATTAAATTTTACACACTTGAGATACCCTTGTGGAATATACCCTTCAGCACATCCTAAACAATCTGAACGATACCCTTTCTCATCACAATATCCACACTCATCTGGAGTATAACACCCTGTTTTACATCCATCAATTAAACAAGATGGAACACATCCAACTGAATAAGTTTCATCTTCCGGAAAATAACCATCTTCACACATACAATCCTTTCTACAATTACTTCCTCCATCACATTCTTCATCAAACCTTTGACGAATCCCATCACCACATTTACACAAACAATAAGTAAAGAAAAGAACAAAAACTACTATTATCTTTTCCTTCATTTGATTGATTTTGTTGTTTTTTCTTTTCTCTTTTTTCTCTTTTCATTTTTTGTTTTATTTTTATTCAAAAGTACGTTTATCTAACTCGTTTCTCATACTTTTCTTTGTTCTTTTTTTAGAACTATTAAAATGTTAAGAATTAAAGTTTTAATTCTTTTTCTTATTTCACTCTCTGAAATTAAATAGCAAAAAAATTTAACTTCTTTATTAAACAGAGTCTTGTTTTTTTTCAATGGAATCAGCCATTTCTAGTAACTTATTCATTCTTATTTGATACCATGATTCGAATATTTTAATTTGAGGGAATTTATAAGATGAAAACTAATTCATTAGACATTAGATTTTCATATGAAATATTTTTTTTTGAATTAGACTCTACTCATTTGTTTTGTTTTTAAATCTTTTAAACTAATTCTGTGTACCGTCATTACTGTCAGTTATCTTTTGACTTCTATTCATTTCAAAATGGTTTTATAAAAAAGATAATGTAGTATTAGTTTCAGTAGGTTGTTTCTTCATTGGTTTGTTTTTCATCTTTAAGAATGAAAATGGATAAATAACTACCACAAACTTTGAAGGTGGTTTCTTTTCTTAATCTTTGGGGTAGTTAAATTTCTTCTAAATTGAATAGTATTTCAAGGTTATTATTAAGATTGTTATTATCATTTTCTTAATATCAACTACCTTAGACATAAAATAGTTTATTTCATGTTTTTGTTATACCCAATTATTGTGTTTTTGATTTAATGGAATTATTTTGTCCCAAAACTAAATGTCAGAAATATCTGTTTATAATTCCACAATATCCTTCAATCTTTGGTATATTCTATTAATTGAGTCATCAATGTTTATCATTGAATTAAATAATATTCATGTTATTATTTTATATTTTGTTGTATTATTTTGTTTGAGTTTATTATCAGACTGTGGATTTAGAGCATAGTTTGTTTGTATGGTTTATTGAATGATTATTAAACAATAAATTAAATGAAATAACGCTTCTTGAAAATGAGAATATATCTTATTAAATCAGGAATTTTGAAAACATATCCATAGTATATTCATCAACAGACCCTTATTGTCCGACATTCTCTTATAATAAATATATTTATATGTTATTCTTCTATCGAATTTTAATAGTCAATTCTTTCCATTTGAATATGTAATATTATATTATAATTCTATTATGTTGTTTACCAATTGCAACTATCATTGAATGTTTCGTATATACAAAGAAATACACTAACTATTAACTGGAATAATAAAAGTGTTCAATAACTTGTTGGTAATGTATCGTTGTAATGATAATTTGATGAATTAGAAGTAACGAAATAAAATAGAAAAGATGTTATTGATATTATGTAAATTTAGACATAAACACAGTTTTGATTTGATACTAATTATTTGAGAAACATTGTATTTCTCATTAACAAGTAATGTGATATACAATACAAACTTTAGTCACGCATTATTCCATAGTCATTTTATGGTAGTTGATAAAAATAGAAGATTGCCAATTACAGAGTTATGTTATAAAAAGTTTTATTGGACTAACCAAACAAATACTTTATGTTAGTTTTAAATGACTTTGAATAAAGAATAATCTTTTCATAATGTTCCTTGAGTATAGTGTATATAATATTTTTGAATTGTGAAAATGAAGAAGAGAAAATAAAAATAAATGAATTTGAGTAATAATAATTTGGAGAATATTTACTTACAAAATATTTAAAACTAAATAAATGGTTAAAATAATTGTTTTGATTGTAATGAAAGATAATAAAAATCTTAATATTTTAATACAAGTATTAGTCACTGAAGAATAATATTGGAATTAAACTAGTTTAAACAAATACGATAATTATTTATTTGATTGTTAATTTAAATATATATTGTTTATTATTTTATTTTAATACCTTTTATTTAATCAAATCATTTGTTTCAATATTTCGTATTAGTGTTTGTTCAAAATAATCAATAAAATACTATTAATTCATAACCATTTAACAATAAAAAGATATGACGATTAAAATATTTAAACAAATAGAATATTTAAACACTGTGTAAATTACCTTTAATAATACACATATTTTTTTATTTAAATATACTACAACAATATTTAAAGAAATTTTAAATACTAAGTTAAGAATGTATTATTACGGAATGAAACTAAAATGATAATTGAATGATTATAGAAATTAAAACATTGATTTTATTATATAATGAATATTTCATATTGTATAAATGTTTTAATATCTAATGTCGAATTAGTATAATTTGTGAATGATTTGAATAAAATTGATGAATTGCAAATATTAATATAAATAATATAAGATGAGATGGGTATAACATGGTATTTTAAAATAATAAATGATAATGATATTAATAAAATCAGATTCAATTACATTGAGTATTAAATTTTACTACCATTTATGCATTTGTTTAAAAGAACAAGTAGAATATAAGTCAAAGCAATATTATTGGATTATTCAATGTGAGAAGAATAAAAGTATTTGAAAATAAACTAAAGAGAACGTAGTGAGAATTAACTTATAAAAACAAAATAATGATATTTGCTGATGTCAAAACAGATCATGTATTAATTTAAACGATCAGAGAATAAAATACACACATTATTTTGTTATTTTTACAACACTTCTAATTTATGCATTTTATTTATTCATTAATACTCTGACTATTTTCAGTTAAACTAATATTTATTTCACATTTCATTTATTTTAATTTGTCGAATTATTGTCTTTCTTTGATATTTTCGATTTTTAATACTAGAACCACTAATTTGTTTTGTGATTTTTGATGAAATTGTATTATTTATAGATTATTTCAGAAAGTAAATACAACAAAATCAAGAATGTTTTAAACTCGAAGAATGGGAAATGATTATGAATAATATCAAATAATGTGAATAACTAAACCAACAAATAAAATATATTTTGAAACACAGAATAAATAATCAAACAAATAGAAAATAGACAGAAAAAGAATAATCAATAAATTATTTGATTCAGATAATGGCTAACATGATAAAGATGACAAATAATAATTATTAATGAAGAATCTAAATGAAATGAAAATTAATGATAGTTTTATTCTATAACTGATAAAGTATGATAATTGTGTTTTATAAATGATTCAAAACCATTTTTATTTTCAATAGAAACAAAATGGATAATGAAAGGAATGATGAATTTTGATATTAAACAACATATATTTAAAATATTTATTCAATCAAGTGTTTTATTGTTAGAAATTTGATATGGTATTTGTGTTTATAAAATGGATATAAAACAAGTTCATATGTTATTTTAAATTCATTTTGACAAAAAGCAAAATCAAATTTGCATTGTAAAAATAGAGATTCTAACAAAAAAACCAAATAATGATAATTAAAATGATTTAATTTCAATTGTTTAACAGTAAAAATAAATGAAATATAAATGAATAATCATTTATTAAATATTAGAAAGAATAAAGAAAAATGATAATTTAATTTTCGAGTTAACTTCATTTGAATGAATAAAATAGTTTGTATTCATTTAATAAAAAAATAATAATTGAACTAAAGAGAAATATCAATAAAAAATGAAAAATAAGTTAAATAATAATTCATAATAATGAATATGATAAAATTTAATTGGTATAATAAAATAGAACTAAAATAAAATATTTACTTTAATTTGTTATTTTATGTTATTATTATTTTTAATGGAAATGAATTATTTCATTTCAATACTTTTGATTTTTATTGATTTTTATTCTTTTTCATTTTCATATTTTCATTCATTAAACACAATACTCTTGTTATAAAAAGTTAATTAATAAATTAAATTTATTTTTATCATTGTATTATATTATATTTAATTGAAATACTGTTATTCATTATTTATTTAATTATTGAAGTGAATAAACAAACTAATATATTCATTGAAAATATTGAATAAACAACTATAATATGTAATAAATTAATTAAATATTGAATATCATCATATCCTAAAATATGATAATGAAATATGTTTATGCTTATGATACTTTTATTTATTCATGTATTTGTAATACATCATATACCATTTGATGCTTCATTTCTCAATAAATATTATAATTTATCATTATATTCGATTTCTAATTAAACAATAATAACATTTATTATATTTGTTGTTTAATATTAAATAAAAACATTCAATACATGATTAATAAATGAACAAATTGTTGTTATGATAATAATTAAAAAGAAGTAATAACAGTTGATATTTTTTAATGAAATGTTGATATTTCATTGTTTAATGTTTATTAATCACACCGTTAATATTCATTATTATACCATATATTTTGTTCATTAACTCGATTTAATATTATTTATAAATTTAATAATTAAATCAGAATGAAAATTTGAATTTAAGTAATGAAATATATTCTTATCATTCACCATTTCAAATTATCAATCATTCTGATTATGAAATAAATAAAAATATATTTGATGTCAATAAATGTTGTTGTAGAATGTAATTAGTACAACAATCAAAACATTTGACAATTCTCATTTCAACAACTATTAAATAATAATGAATTAATAACAAATCATATAAAAAACAATGAAAACAATACATTTATATATTACTTATAAATTAATTAATATTTGTTAACAAACAACATCAAATAAATATACAAACCAACAAAATTAAAGAATTAGAAATAAATAATAAACGATTATATTCATTTTATTTTATTGATTAAATGAAGAAGATAATAATAAAACACAATACAATAACATAAAAGAATAATAAGAACAAGAATGAGAAATACATTTTAATTTATTTAAATGAAATAAATCATTATTATGATAACATCTTTATTATTTTATTTATTATAGTAACACTGAATACAATATACTTTACCTACTACATCATAAAAAGAATAATAGTAATTAAAATGAATTGAATTTTTAGTATTTTATGTATTATTTAAAAACAAATATTAAAAACGTAAATCTTTGAATAAATAATATAAAACAAATCATCGAAAGAATACTTATTCATAGAATAATCAAATAACATTATATAGTTTGTATTAACATAACAAAAAATACAATTATTTTATAGTGTATGAATATAAATTAAAGTTTTATACTCATATATTATAAATTAAAAGAACAAATCAGTTAATAAATAAATTTAAATACAAAAATGAAAATAGAATATTTAATATTTCATTGATATTGTAATACATAATATTTATTAATGAGCTTATATGATAAATTATATTTTAAGAGTAGAAAAATAAATAACATCATTTAATAAATGAGTATTTGAAATAGAAATAATAAAAAGAAAATAAAATAGCAATAGAATTAGCTTCTATTGTTCATGTTCAGGGAGAAGATTCATCTCAAATTGAAATTAGATAATTAAATTATAAATATCCTTAAAGTCAATTACTAAATAAAACCATTCAATAATCTAAAAAAAAGTGAATTAATTATTAATTTGGAAGAATTATTTTCAAAGAATTATTAAAAAATTTATTAAAAAAAGAAAATCCGTCATGAGTAGGTTGAGAGATAGCAATATCATTAAGATGATAAATAGTTCCATAAGTATTATAAATTTTTGTTAGTTCTAATAAATGAGATGCAACTTTTTTTCTTCTTGAAGCTTTATGAACCCATAATACTTCTATTCCAAGTGTTGCATTTGTTTTATTTTGTTCAATTAATTTAATATCATCATATTTATTACAATTACATTGATAAATGATATGTGTTTTATTTAATATTCTTGTAACAACAATTCCAATAATTCTATTATTTTCTATACAACAAATATAATTAAAATTGTTTGATTTAAGATAATTTAAATCCATTTCAATATCTTCATTTATTCTTTCATTAATAATTTGTATTTCTTTATTAATTCTTGAATTCCATTGAAATTTAATATATTTATAATTTCCTTCTTGTTGAATAGTGTTATATTCATTACTTTTTATTTTTAATTTTGGTGGAAGAAGAAATTCTTTATGATATTTTTCATGTGTTTTTATATCGTCTTCAATAGTACTTTGGTATTCAAGATGACAAATATTACATTTAATAACTCCTGGTTGCTTTTGACAGAAATCTAAAACACTTTGTCTCTTCTTCAGAATCGTTGATGATTTGTTTTGTTTTGTTTTAGAAAAATTCTGAGTCGGTTTTGTGGTTTGTCTCTTTTTCATTTTATTTTTTAGATTTTTTTTTTGTTATCACCTTTCTTAAAAATTAAAAGTAAAAATAAAAAAGATCTTGTTGTTAAGACACAAATTCTTATCATGTCAAAACATCACCCAGATTTAGTAATGTGCAGAAAACAACCAGGAATAGCTGTTGGTAAATTATGTGCAAAGGATGAAGGAAAATGTCCTATTTGTGATTCATATGTCCGACCATATAAGAAAGTAAGGATTTGTGATGACTGTAACTTTGGAAGTAATCAAGGAAAATGTATCATTTGCGGTGGAGAAGGAGTAACTGATGCATATTATTGTAGAAATTGTGTATTACAAGAGAAAGATCGGGATGGGTGTCCAAAAATTATCAATATTGGAAGTTCACGTGCTGATTTGTTTTATGAACGTAAGAAAAAATTAAACCAAAATTAACTTGTTAAAATGAATGTTTTGATTGACAAAAAAAAATATATTAAGAGAATTTTTGTTATTTTTTCTTGTTTCATTCATTAAACTATCTAATAATTCAAGAACAATAAATTTTAAATACATTATTCATTTAAATTCTGAAATTTTACAATTTATATCTTCTTTTCTTTGTATTATTAAACTCTTCTTTTTAAAAAAAATATAAACAATATCCTTTTGATACCAATTCTAATTAAACTTTTAGGATAATCAAATCTTAAGTAAAAGGTATGTTGATTATTTAAACAAAAAGGTTAAAAATCTTATAAAATATATATGTTATATTATAGAATAAACAATAAACAAAAGTAATATTGTATTTTACATTACTCAATATTCTTATTAAATATAAAATAAAATAATATTCTTTCTTTTTTTTTCTAATACTTTAAATATTATGAGCATGATTATGTTATTGTATTGCTAATACATTTATATAATTATGTTTTTGTAAAATGTAGAAATAAAATATTCATTAAAATATTAGCATTACAAAAAATTTCAATCAATGTAAATTTATTCAAATAATGAATTTATTAATATTTATAATTCTATACAATTGTTAAATTCAAATAATGTTTATTGAGAATAATATGATAATTATCAAACGATGATGATATTGAAATAGATAGATACAATGTCTTATAAATATTTTTATTAAAATTTATACTAATTTAACTGCATATTGAAATAATAAAAATTACCTTGGATAGAAGAAAAAAAATTTCTTTATTTCATTAATGTTATTAGAAAATAAATGACTATATATTCACAAGTCTATAAAAATTGGTATTATTTATAAAAAAATAGATAAAATATTTTGTATCTAATGTTCAATCAAATAAATTATATTAATAGAATAGTCATAAAAAAAAAAGAAAAACAAAAAAAGAAAAACACAAATTAAAAAAAAAAGAAAAAAAATAAAAAAACTGAGATTGGATTATTTTAAAAGAACTTATGATTTCACCTCGTATGAAAGTTGAAGACATTTATGACCTGACGCTGAAATCAGAACAATTACTTGATGCGTTCAACAGAAAAACTCCTGCAACTCAAATTGGACTGTATGAACCAACACATGAAGAGTGGGCATCTTTAATAGCACAATTAGGAAGACCTTCTCCTGTTATTCGAACCGCAGTTATTAGACATTTAATTTGTTTGATTGATATATCAAAGAATGTACCTGAAATGTTATTAGAAGGAGTTGGAGCATTACTTATTGCCAAAGCATTAGTTGATTATTCTACTATTAAAGAAAAAGAACCTGAAAAAGTTCGTAAATATAAAACAATGTATCAAACAATGAACAGATATGCCTTTACTTTAATTTCAACTATTCTTATGACAATTCAAAAAATACCAGTAGTTTGGGCAAGAGCAATTGTTGAAGCATCAGAAGCAATTGATTCAAGAGATACATCATACACTGAACTATATGATAGATTGATTGTTCAAATTGCACTTTCATGTCCTGATGTATTTGGAGCGTCAGCCACTGAAGCATTGAGAGTGATCTTTTCAAAGAAAACAACTTGGAGCCAAAACTCAGTAAAAGATTTCATTTTATTTGGATTAAATTCAATTCCACATAAAAAGTATTTAGGAATCGATCAATTATTAATTTCATTAATATCTCCAATGTGTAGTCCTGAACATTGGTTATTTTCTCAAAAAAATGTATTGACTCAAAGAATAAATGCTGATAGAGAACTTAAACAAACACAATATTCTGATGCAATTGATATATTTTTTAAAGTTATTCAAACATGGCCTGGATTATTAACACTAACATCAAATAAAGGTATTGATATCTTAGTATTAGCATTAAGATCACCAGTACCAAAACAAATTAATATGATTATTTCTAATTTATATAAGTTATTTGATCTTAAACAACCAAAAATTCAACCTCAAGGTGTTGATTATCAAGAGTCGGTTTCTGATAATTCAATTCTTAAAAACTCACCATTAGTATTATCATATTACACTCATTTATTGATTGCCTTGATTGATTCTAATTTTTTTGATGCACTTTGTGATGTTTGTGTTGGAAGACAAATGCATGATGACTTTTCAAGAGCTGAGATACTATCTCAAGACTCTAAAAAAGTAGATAAAATGAAAACCAAACCAAGTCATCGTCAAACAATCTCAGAACATTCTCAAATTGGACTTGAAGTGACTATGATTGGATTAGAAAATAACTCTCCTAATGAAAAAGATTCTAGTTCAATTGAAGAAGTTAGTTGTATTACTGTAATTGCAAAATCTGTTATTTTACTTGGAGAATTATTATATTTAGCTGGATTATTATTACCACAACGACATTTATCATTACAAAAGTTATTTGCTACAGCATGTAATTTTTCATCAAATCTTCAAACAAGTTCAACATCATTATTAGTAAATTTACATTCTCATATTCAATTTAAAATTGATGCAATTATTAAAGAAAAAAAAGATAATGAAAGATATACAATTAATGAATATATGAGTAATGATGTTACAAGTGATATCAATCAAACTCTAAAAGGTTTAAATATGATGGATGAAACTGAAATTAAAAGAAGTGTTCAAGCATCAAACATTTCATCAAATGATTATTTAACATGGAATTGGGATGAAATTTTTAAATTATTAACTTCATTATCTCAAAATATGAGATATGTTCCGATTGTTGAAAAAACACCTTTCTTTAAGACATTAGTTAAATTTTATCAACCATCAAAAAAGAGATTTAGTGAAATTGATTGTCAACCAAAAGAAAAATTCACTCCATGTGGAACAATGTTATTCCAAATTTTAATTCAAAGTGAAAATGGTCAAGGATTATTACAAATTATCTTAAAAGAAATTGCTGCAGAACTTAAATATTTTATTCAAATGGCAAAGAAAGAAGAAGAAAGAAAACGAGATGAAGAGAATAAAAAAAAAGAAGATGATAAAAAGAAAGATGATGATAAAAAAACTGAAGAAGAAAGAAAAAAAGAAGAAATTAAAAAGAAAGAAGAAGAATTTAGGAAATTCTTTGAAAATTTAAATGAAAAAGGGCATTTCTTTGATCAAACACATTTAATGAAAAAACTTTCAAAAGAATATTTTGGATTTATTGGAAGTATTTGTGATATGAAAGAAGCACATATTGCTTTAAGTGATATATTTGATTTATATACTCAAGTTCTTGGAATTAGAAGATTAGACCCATTATCAGACCTTATTTCTTCATCATTTAGAATATCAACAAATGATAAAAATACAAAAGTAATGGAAGCAATGCTTAATAGTGAAAATATTACACTTGCTAATCGTGCTATTAAAGAAATAAGAAGATTATTAATTAGTTCAGGAGATATTACTTCAGAACAAATGATGTGGAAAGGTTGGACTATTCCAAAATTAGTTGAAAATTTAGTTAAAAAGAATCAAGTAAAACAAAATATAAAAGAAATTATTATTATTTTAAGAAATGCTATTAAAAAAGAACATATCAAAAAAGTATTTGTTGAATTTATTAATGATAAAAAAATTGATAATGAAGAAAATAAAGAAATTAATATACAACAACCTTCAGAAATTAGAAATATATTTCAAATATTAATTGATAATGAAGGTGAAGATATTATTTATGAATTACTTAAAAATGATATTTCAATTCAAAAATGTATTGAAAGTACAACATTTGTTATTGATGAATATAATAAATGGATGAAAGGTGGATATATCGCTTATATTCAAAATTATGATGAAAAAAAACGATTACCTCATTTCTTCCAAATATTATCTCTTACGCCTATTGGAAGAGGAATATTAAAAGATAATAATACAACTGAAAAACTTTATATTGAATTTACAACTTCAAAATTATTAATTAATAAAAGTGGTGCTGCAATTGCATTATCTTATATTGCTGCTAATGATAATAATGATGAATATAAATTAGTTGATGAAGATATTATTAAATGTATTATAAAATCAATTTATGATGAATCATTATATATTAGAGGAATATCAACTTGGGCAATTTCAATTTTATGTTCAAATAAAAAATATGAAAAAATGTTAAATGAAGAAGGATGGAATAAATCATATAATGGAATTATGATTCCAGGAGATGGCTTAACTGATCAATTTTATAACCAACATTATGAAAAAGTTCTCTTAAAAAATATTCCATTTTCAACTAATTTCTTAAATAATGAACAAATAGAACTTGTTAAATATGTTAGAAAAATGAGACATGCAAATATGTGGAGAAGCTCAATGAAAGAACTTAATAAAAAAAGAGCTGAAAAACAAGAATTATTTAAAAATGATATTTCTTTTAATATGGACGTTTGTAAATTATTGGACAATGTTAAAACAAGTGTTATTCAACGCAGTTTTGTCTACGAAATATTTCTTGGTTCTTTACCATTACCATCTCTTAAAAATCAAGCACTTTCTTGTTCTGACAAAATTATTGGTATTGTAAAGTCAGAAGCCCCAATAAAAGATAGTAGTTGTTCTACTCCAAAAAGAAATAAAAGAGCTACAAAATCCCAAATTTGCTCTGCTGTTGATCCTACTTTTTCTTAATACATTAATTATTGTTATTCATAACATAATTATTATTATTTTTTTTTTTATTTTTTAAAAAAAGGAATTATTAGTTCTTTATGGTTTGATTATTTGAGTTACATTAATGTGTTATTCACAGTATTAGAAACATTTAGAACCTTGTTATTTAATGATTGTTTTACAATATTTAGACTCACTTGAAAGTCTTTATAAATTTAATTGTATTTGTAAACATTGTGATGAAGCAGTCAAAGCAACAAAAATTAATCCAAATTATTCAAATGATTCTCTTGATACTTTATTACAAAACAGTGAATTATCTCATATCCAAAAAGAAATTAATGTTTTTCCAAACTTAGAAACATTACAATTATCAAATGATTGTTTAGAACAATTATATAAAACACATAAATCATATTGTTTGTTGTGGTATATTTTATTGTAAAATAATACTATCAATAAAATTCACATAATTTATAGTAGAAGAATCAATCAAATTAATTAAAATAACTGATTATATTCTTAAAGAAAAAGAAAATCGACTTATTAGTTTAAAATTATTACAAAAAAAAATAGTTGAAATGAAATTGGATTGTGATTATCTTTTGAATGGAATTAACTTATTTAATTGTTATAAATTACATAAATTAACATTAAGAATTGGTAATGTCTTTCAAATACATTATTTAAAAAAATATATTGAAGAAATAAAAACAATTCCTTTTCTTCAACTAACTTGTATTTTTCATTCTAAACATCATCAAATCGTTTCTAATATTTTAAACGATTTCCCAAAAACTAAATTAATTTGTTGTTGGGTAGAAAAAAGTACTTGTAATAATCTTATTGACTTGGCTCATCATTCACAAAATCATTTCATTGGAGTTTCTTATTTAGACATTGACTCATATTCTGATTTTAATAATTTCCCTTTTATTTTATTACCTCATAGAAATGGTCAATTAGAATTTGCTAATGAAATGGTTATTGAACCTTATTTCTCGGAATTATTAAAGAATTATTATCCAGGAAATTTAGAAATTGTTGGTAAGAAATTAACTCCTCTCATTTCACAAAATAAATTTCTTGTTGATTTATCTTATTTAAATGACATTACTAAATTATCACTTCTTGATAGTAAAACAAAAAATATTAAATATATCCTTCCTTCTTCTTTAAAAGAACTTAAAATCCTTAACTTCGCTTCTTTTGATGATATTTTAAATATTAATGAAATTAAATTAAAACTTAACAAATTCTCTAACAAACAAATAATATAATTTTGTTGTTTTTCTTCTTCTTTCATTTTTTCTTTTTTTTTTAAATATAAATTTAAATTCTTTGTAATGTAGAATTTGTTTTAATCTACCTGAAATAATTTAAAGTCTTTTTTCATTATCTTAAAAATATCAATTTAATTCTTATATGTTAATAATAATCAAAAATAATTAACAAATATAAATCTAATCATTTAAAATTTAATACATTGTTATATGATATTACACAAATATACTTTATTTGAATAACAAAAGTTATAATATTATTCATTAATATTCTTGTATTATTTTAAAGTCATATTATATTAATTAAAAACAAAAAAATAATTTTCGTTATATAAAACGATAATGAAACATATTTTTTTGTTTTTATTAAATTACAAATTTTAAAAACACAATGAAAAAAAAAAAAATATAAAACTATAAAATAAATATTATGCAAGTTTTTTTCTTATGTGCTTTAATATTTACAGCTTTTGCTGGATATGGAGTTGATATTGCAGAACCTATTAGTGTTAGTTCAATTAATTGTTTGAGAAATATTGGATTTAATTCTTTTTTCATTTTTAGATGTTGGAGAAGTCTTGGTTCATGGGATCCAAATGCTAAAGGAATTAATAACAACGCTCTTTCTGCTGGTTTTGATGCACACAACATTGACGCATACTTTTATCCATGCATTTCATGTGGTGATCCTGCTGGACAAGTAAATTCATTTTGGAATCAAGTAGTTGCTAATGACATGAAGTTTGAGAGGGTTTGGTTTGATGTTGAAGGATATTGGAATGATGAAGAGTCAAATAAAGAATTCTTTGAAACAATGATCAACCAACAAAGAGCAATTGGATTTAAGGCTGGTATTTATACAAATTATAATAATTGGGATCAAATCTTTGGACTTGACTATACTTTTAAATATGCTGATGAATATCCTTTGTGGTATGCTCATTATGATAGTTGGGATAGTTTTGGTGATTTCACTCCATTCGGTGGATGGAGTCGTCCAACAATGAAACAATACAATGGAGATATGACTGCTTGTTCACATGATGTTGATTATAATTACAAGCCATAAATTGAATTTGATTAATTTTATTTGGGTTTATTAAAAAACTCATAAAAATGAGTTATTCCATTTGTAAAAAAGAAAGTATTGCATATAAATTCCATGAATGAAACAATGATGATGACTCTTTGATTGTTCATAAAAAAAGAAAGAATGTCTTTTCTTTTGATGGTTTATTCTCAATTTATCATTACAACAAAAAGATAGAATTATATGTATTTCAATCTTATTGAAAAATTGAGAGAATAATATAAGGTTTGTTTAATGAATGGATTATTGATTAATATCAATTTAATTAAAAAATAATATTCTTTTAACAAAATACAGATTAATGTATTATTAAGTAAATAAAGGATAATATCTTCATTCATAAAAGTTCATGATTTTGTTTATTTAAAATGAGTGGTATTCAAGAGAATGATAAATATTAAGTAATGGATAATTTTCATGATAATGATGATAGAATTAGCTTTTGAAAATTATTATTAAAAAATCAATTATAAATCAGTTATTAAGTAATGAACTTATTTCTAACATAAATGCTTCAATATGATAAATTGGTTCAGTTCCAAGAGACATGTTATGACTATGTTTCATAGCAATAGAAGGAATTTCTATTTTATATTTTGGATCAATTTTAGATTCCATTAAATACCAAAACATTGTTTTTAAGATAGTATCAGCAGAAATGATTGTTGACAATTCCACAACCTCATCTCGTTTCTTTTCAAATTCTTTTGATGAGATTTTTTTCATCCCAATAACAATCTCAGCTAACTTTTCTCTCCAATATAAATTCTCTATTTTTCCAGTTAGTCTATATTCAAATGCTGCTGCCTCAGCTAATAAAATATTTCCACGTGAAATACCAACAATTTTTTCATTTCCTCCAAGTTTTTCAACAATTTTAGTCATTTCTTGTTTATTTGGAAGAGGAACACGAATCATAACACATCTTGAACGAATAGGTTGAATAACACTACATGGATTAGTACAAAATAAAATAAATCTACAGACTTCTGAACCTGTTTCCATAGTTCTTCTTAAAGATTGTTGAGCTTCATTAGTTAAATGATCTGCATCAAAAATCATAATAACTCTAAATTTTGTTTGTTTTTCTTTTAGACATTGTTTTGGTTCTGAGTTAGAAGAAAGTATTAAACGATTTATTGACTTTTGTTGAATAAGAGAACTAAGTGTTTGAAAAGTAGTTAATGATTTAACATATTCTTGAATAACTAATTTGTCAGATTCAGTTGCATTTGATGGGATAAGTTCTACATGATAAGGAGATGATCTTAAGTTAATTTCTTTTGGTTTTCCTTTCACATCAATTACTGTAGTTGATGGTTCAATTTTCATAACACCATCTCCATAAATATTTTTTAAATATAACAAAGCTCTTGTATATTTCCCACTTCCTTCTGGTCCATGAAAAAGTAAATGTGGCATATCTTTATTTTTACTTAAATTAATTAATAATTCATTAGCTTCATTTGCATGATCCAATTCGTTAAATGAGTTTGGTCTTTTATTAAACATATGAAACTAAAAGGAATAAAAAAGAAATAACATTTTGAAGTTCTTAACAAAAAACAAAAAGAAAAGAATGTTATTTAAAACAAAGAGAATGAAATAATTATTAAGTAAAAGAGATTTTTTTTTTGTTTTAAGACATAAGTTTACAAACAATACAACTAATGTTATCTTTACATCCATTGTTATATGCAATATCTCTTATTAATGAAGATAATACTGATGCAGATTCATTAGACTTTTTTCTACAAATTTCTCCAACTAATTCATTTGATAATACATCAAAAACACCATCACAACATAATACAATACATATATCATCTATTCCTCTTTCATGACAAGTAATTTGTGGAATACAACTACAAACTGATGAACATTGAATATCACCTAAAGTTCTAGTTAAAACAATTTCACCATTAACTTTAGAATGATCAATAAATCCATTTAATTTACGAATTCTTTGAACTTCATCAGGATTATTAATAGTATGGTCTTCATTAAGTATAATAATTGAATCTTTTTTAACAAGAATACATCTTGAATCACCAACATTAGCAATAAAATATCTTTGAGGAGTAATTAATACTACATTTGCAGCAGTTCCATCATTAAATTTATATTCATTAATTTTTTGATTCATTTCTTTAAATGAATGAATTAATGCATCTTCAATTGATTGTTGAGGATTTTTAGATAAAATATTTGCAAAACAATTAGGGAATTGTGAAGCACAAAAACAACTTGAATAAATTCCACTATGTCCATCAAATAATGATAATAAATGAAATCCAATTCCTAAAAAATTAGTAATAACAACTGATGTATCTTGCATTGAATCTCTTTTACCACACATATTTGATATACCAATTTCAACAGGACATTCAAATGAATTTTCTTCAAATTGAGGAGAAGATAAAGGTAATTTAAGTTGATTACAATAAGCAGATTTTAAAAATAATAAAGGAGTATGAATGATAGTTTGTGGTTTATTTCTATCTCTTTTTTCTGTATTAAAACATGATATTTCAAAGATATTTAATTGTTTAATAAAATTTACATTAAGAGGATATTTTACTTCAGGTAATGTTCCAATAAAATTAATATTTTTTAATTGTTTCATTAGAGTTAATTCTGATGGAATATGAAGATTTTTATTAAATGCCATTGAAAGTGATTTAATTGTTGTACATTTAATAAGAGGAAGTGCAGAAATAATATTATTACTTGAAAAATCAACAACTTGAAGATTATTTAATTGACTTAAATTTTTAGGTAAATCACAAATATAATTATGTGTTAAATATAAATTTGTTAATGATGTTAATTTTAAAATATTTAATGGAAATTCTGTTAATTTATTATGTGATAAATTTAATTCTTCTAATTGATTTAAAATACCAAGTGAAGTAGGTATTGTTGTTAATTGATTAATACCAAGTTTAAGTATTTTTAAATATGGAAGAAATGTAAATAAATTATTTGGTAATTGTGAAATTCCATTATTACTTAAATTTAATTCTTTTAATTTATTATAACTAATTCCTTTTTCTGGAAAAGATGTTAATTTATTTGAAGCTAATGTTAAAATTTTAAGGTTTGAATGTAATTCAGTTTGTTCTATTTGTTGAATGAAATTATTAGTAAGATATAATTCATGAATTGTTTGAAGATCTGTTGTATTTGGTATTTTTTTTAAATGATTATTACAAAGATTTAATGTAAATACATTGTCATTTGGTGTACATTTTATTTCTGTTAATTTATTATTTTCTAATATTATACAACAGTTATTTAATGTACAACTAACTTCTGTAATTAATGAGTCAGTAATAATTAAATTTGAAATCTTTGGCATTTTTCTTAAAAATCTTGGAAATTCATTAACTCTACTTCTAACAATAACAAGTTCTTGAAGATTAGAAAGTGATACAATTTCTTCTGGAATTCTTTGAATTAAACAATCAGTAAATGCAATTTCTTTAAGTTTTTTTAATTCTTTAATTTCTGGTGGTATTTTTCTGATTAAATTATTATCTAATTCTAATGAACAAAGTTCTGTTAAATTAAATATTTGTTTTGGTATTTGAGTAAATTTATTATGAAGTAATTTTAATTGATTGAGATGTTTTATTCCTTCAATTCCTTTTAATTTATTCAAATTATTATAAAACATCCATAATGTTCTAATATTTGATAATTTCCCAAGAACTTGTGGAAAATTATCAAAATTATTATTACTAAGGTCAACCTAAAGATAAATATTTCTTTCTTGTCTTTTTCTTTCATTACTTTTAAACTCAATCTGAAGATTGAAAGATTGATGAATTAATAAAAAGTTAATACCAATTCTTTCTATAAAATGATGAAGAATAAACAAAATTAAAACAAACAAATGTTAACTTTGTTAATGAACATATTTCTAATGGTAATTCTTTTAAGTTATTTGCTGGTAATGTGATATTTACAAGAGTTGTCATTATTCCAATTTCTTTTGGAAGAGATGTCAGATTATTTTGACCCATAATCAATTCAGATAAATTATTTAAACAAACAATATTTGGTGGAATAGATGTAATATGGTTATTGGATAAATCAAGACATTTTAATGATTGAAGATCAAGAATTGGATCAGGAAACTTATTAATGTTATTTCCTCTTAATCGAAGGAGAGTTAATAATGAAAAATTTGAGAATGATGGTTCTATAGACTATAATAATGAGTGGTTTATTTTTCTTGTGTTATGTCTATGAATTATAAATAACATACATTAATTTGATTTAAACTCAAATCAAGACTTTTTAATGAATGTTTAAGTTTCATTATTTCATTTGGAATACAAGTATATCCTTTTGACTTAGCAACAAGATTTGTAGTAACTTGTGTCATTATTTGGAATTTTTTTTCAAATAGATCTGCAAATTCTAACTACAATCTATTTTCAGTGTTATCTAAAAAACATATTAATTACTTATTCTTCAATATTTTCTTATTTCTTCAACAAATAATTGCATTAATTTCATTAGTTATTCCTATCAAATATATTTTTTATTTCATTCATATACCTTGTTATATTCAATGTAAATATTTTCATTAAATTATTCTGCTGTTGTTATAAGTACTAACCATACCATGTTATTGACTTAATTAATAAAAGGTATTGTTATGGACAAATTATGTACTGTAAATTCAATGTGAATATTAATTTATAATTTATGGTTTTTTAATCAAAAAAGAAATTGAAAAGAAGAATGAGACGAATGGTGATCTTAGTAATTCAGTAAATTGTTACAATGGCTATAACCCTCCCTCCTTCACTTGCTGGAATATTACCAAAATACCAACGAGTTGTAATAAATTGTACATCTCCTGAATATAGAGAGTTATCAGCTCAAATCCATATGACATTACTTCCATTAATTAATACAATTGCTATACTTCATACACCATATCAATCATGTTCTGAACATTCATTTAAACAATTTCAAAAAGATGATAAAACTTTGGTAGTTGAAGTTGGAGGAATTTGTGAACAACGAAATAATGTCTATATTTATCCATTAAATATTCCTGCTATTCAATCAATTCCAATTGATAATGCTACTATTATCATTGTAGAACCTTCATTAATGGAAAAATATAGTTTTATGAAGTCTTTAAACAAAGAGTATTTAGTAGTTGATATGAAAGATGCATTTATTATTAGAGAAAAAGCAATAAAAAATGTTTGTTATGATTTAATTTATGATGTATGAAAAGATAATTTATAAAATATAGAATATCAATAAAGTAGTAATTATTTATGGAAGTGAAACATTTAATTCAATGCCATTCCAGTTATATTTCAATCCAATGAATATTAAGAAAATTAATGTTGTCAATGGAGAAGAAATTGATTGTTCCAAAGAAACAATGAAATATGTAATGAATAGATATTCATTATTTGATAAAATTAGAAGTGCAACAACATTTATGCTTTTACTTCTTGACCCTGATTGGTGTTTGTTTATCTTTTCATTAAATACTATAAAAAAAAGAAATTCATTAATTAGACAATTCTGAGTCATTTAAAAAATTAAGGAGTTTATTGATGAAAGAATATCGTGTTATCACTGTCTTCATGGGTAATCCAGAAAATAAATTATTGAATTATAGTGGACAAGTTGATATTGCTATTGTTCTTGGTTCTGATTTATCTGAATTGAAATTTGAAGGTGATATTCCAACAGTAACACCATACGAAGTATTGTACTCATTATATCTCAATAATGAAACTGAGTGGAATGGAGAATATCCAATTGGAATTGAACGATCAAAACCATACATTGACCAAGCATTTGAACTTATTAATTGATTGAAGGTTTAACCATTTCTTATTTAATGAGTGACAAATTAAGAAAAAAGAATTGATTAATTTTCAAGTGGTAATTGGTTGATTCAACATTCATTATTATTAATATATTATAATAACAATGAATTAGTCATATTGTTGAATCTTTTTCTTTTCCATTCTCCTTCAACTACTTGATACTCAATTTCTTTTCTACTAAAAGAAGAAATATTCATTATTGATGATTTATTCAAAGACACATAACTTAAATAGATAAAAACCAAACAATAAACAATACTAAGATGAAAAAGAAAAAAAAAACGAAAGAAGAGATGATTGTTCAAAAAAAAAAGATTAATTACTTAGTTATATGTTCTTTCTCATAGATTCGTGGTAAAATTTTGGTAATATCCATTGAATAGGAAACAAAAATTAAAATGATAAATCCAACAAGTATCCATTGAGCAATAGCTGCTACAGAAACAACAACTAAAGTATTAATAACATAATCCATATTTTATATTTAAATTAAATAACAAACATTTCATTGCAACACTACCAAAGATAGAAACTGTTGTAGGATGAATTGCCATTGCTAATATAATAGTAATTCCACATCCAATACAACACCATTTTCTAAAATTCATTGCACGTTCATCAAAATAAGAAAAAACATTTTTCTTGTCTTTGAGAATGTAGAATATGTAAGATGTATGTATTATAACTAACATGAAAAATATTCCTGCACAACTTTGATGAATTCTACTTCCTAATGTTAAATGAGGTGATGAAATAATATCATTTTGTAATGGAATAATTGCATGAATCATAAAACAAATAACTCCTGATGATAATGTAATGAATAATTTAATAATTTGTTGTTCAGAAAATAATTCAGTAATTGGTAAAACAGAAAAATGAATGTGATATGAACAATATAAAAATAATATACCTGTTATACAAAATCCAAATGAATATAAATAATATTCTGGTGCTTTATAACCTGTTAATGAAATGAATGGTAGTATTACACTTGATGGATAATGATTTAAGAATGTTGATAAAATAAAACAAACAAAAATTGTAGTAACAGCAATAAGTGCTGCATTTCTAATAAGAATTGGTAATTTTTTAATGGTATTAAAAGTCATGTTATTTTATGAAAAAGAAATTAAATAAAATTGACAGTTCAATTGAAAAAGAAATAAAATCTTTAAAGTGAAAAGAAAATGAATATAAACCTAATTTTCTAATAGAAAGAAACAAAAACAAAATAATATTAAAAGACATTCACAACTTAGTTTATTGATAATATGAATAATTCACTGGTTCCCATTGAACTGGTGCAACGTATTGAACTTGTTGTTGAGGTAATTGTTGGATCATTGGTTGAATATTTTGTCGTTGAACATATCTATTATTTGTACGATTACGATAAGGATTAATGTATTGTACTTGAGGTTGTATTTGTCTGACAGGAACAAATTGTGGTTGAGTGGGTTGAATATAAATAGGTTGTGCTTGTCTTATAGCAACAGGACGAGCAGTTTGAATTGGTTGTATTTGAATTGGTTGGGTCATTGAAAATCCATCTTCATTTTCCCAATCATCACCATAGAAATCATCATCTGGTTGTTGGTATGTTTGAGTAAAAGAAGATGGAGACATTGATGGTGAGAAGAATGTATTATCTATTAAATATGGATCATATACTGGATCTGGCATATCGTCTTGAACATGAACTCTTTGTGGAATTCTTCCATATTTCATTGCCATAGGATTTGGTGCTACAACACCAGTTCTTAGATTAGGTAATTCATCATTACCTTTATTTCTCATACAAATCTCTGCAACTTCTGCATTTAATGCTTCAATTTGACTTCTAATTTCTGCTAATCGACTACGATCTCCACGTTGTTGTCTTCTTTGTTGTTGTATTTGAGCATATGGATTTTCTTGATAAACCATACCAGCTATAGGAATATTTCTTGGGTTATTATTATAAATTTGTGCTTGTTTTGCCATTTTTTGATAATCCTTTGAGTTAAGTGTTTGACTAATATATTGTCTTCGTATTGGAACTTGTTGTTGTTGAGGAGGTGGTTGTAAATAACCAACATTTAGAGGAGTATGTTGTTGAATAGGAAGAACCATTCCATTTTGGTGTTGTGCTAATTGTTTAGCAATTCTAAATTGTTTATAGAATTGTGAAGGACAAGTCTGATAAATATTTGACATTCTTTCGTACTATTTTATTTACTTTTTAAAGTTCACTTTCCATTTTTGTCTTTTCCATTTTTTTTTTATAAATAATTCAAAATAATAAATTATAGTAAAAATATATTAAATATATTAATATTTAATTAAATTTTGTTGAGATTCTTTCTAATTTGTTATTTGTTAGTAAGTTGATGTTTTATAATACTTGTACTACAGTGTCTGGTTTAAATGAAAGAAGTGGATATAAATTATTTTCTTCAACTCCTTTAAATCCTTTTTCTTCAACATCATTACATTGAAAAGTAATGAATTTAGTTTTTTCATTATAACTAACAGTGATAACTCCATCTTGTAAACCGAATGATGATCTTTGAAGAGACCTATCATCTCCCATATATACTCCATCATAATATAATACATGTAATAATGATGGTTTTACTGCTCTATTTAAATCAATTGGTTCTTTAACAGTTACAAATCCAATACATACATTACCATTTAATACTCGAACAGTGAATTTTTTAATTGGGATATATAAAATAATATTACAATAAGATACTTTTACATTTTTTGGACAACTGATAGTAAGAGTTGTCTTATCAAATACTAAATGTTCACTATAAAAACTATAATCACCAAACCATAACATTTGTCTTGTAATTAATGATTGGTCTTTCATTTCTTTTTTTAATAATTCTATTTGTTGTTTTATGTTATTAACTTCATTTATTAATTCTTTTGTCATTTGACTTGAATTCTTTATCATTTTAAGTTCTTCTTCTTAAAATATCTTCTTAAAACAATTATTATTTTCTATTTCAAACTCAAAAAAAAAAATATTTTAATTAAATACTCTTTTTTGTTGTTCTGGTGTTGCTTTCATTCTAAATTCATATAATAAATTATCTGCATCATAAATATATTGCAATGGAATTTTATGTTCTAATTTGAGTGTCCAAATAAACAAATCATCAAATCTCATCTGACTATTCATGATTTCTAATCTATTTTTGATGAGAATTGTTGCTGATAAGAATAGATATAATTTGTCTTTTGGAAATGAAATAAAACTATCCCATAATCGTAATACTTCTTTTGACCAAAACTCTCGTTTAAATAACATCAATAACCATTTAACAATAAATTCAAACGTAATATTGTATTTATTCAAATATTCTCCAAATTCTTCATCTACAACACAAATAATATTTCCTACATTCATCATTTTATCTGATGATATTCTTCCTTCTTCTCCATAAAATTCTTTTACTAATTCAAGTATTCCTTGAAATAAATAAAATACTTCAAATTCTGAATATGTAATTTGTATAATTAAAGCTACTATATCACTCATTCCTTGTCCATATCCACATTCACTTGTTATACTCATACTAACTAATACATCAAACATAACTTTTAATGTAGTACTTGTTAAATCTTTAAATAAGACATTATCTCTATCAGTCCGTTGAACATCTTTACAAATGATATTAATATCTCGTTTATATCTTTTCTTTGTTTGTTCATCCATTTCTTCTGGTTGTTTTCCATTCCATCGCTTTTTAATTTCATCATATTCATTCTTTAATAAAAGAAGTTGTTGATTTCTTTCTTCTTCTGTTGAACTAAATTTCAATATCCCAAGAAACATTTCCCACAAAATAACTCTGCTTGTTTCGTCGCTTCCATGATATTTAACTAATGTTCTCAACTCGTTTTCTTCAAATTCATTAATTCTACCATCTTCATCTTTCATCTCAATGAAATTGTCATATCTAATCTTATATATGTCATTAACTATCGTGTCATTTCTTTCAATTCTTAATTCATCATTATCTCCTCGATATATCAAATTATCCATATAACTCTTCTTTTTAAAGTTCTTATTCAATCTTATTTCATGTTATATATAACACAATGATATTCTATTTTTTCAGTACTAATCACTATTTCTTTGTGATTTATTTCAGAAAGACTGTCTTTTGTTGTTTGGTGCTTGCTTTGATGTTCTGTGATTATTAATGAGAAGGTAATAACAAGATTTGAATTTATGACACGAATTAATATGTCATTTAAAGATTGAAGTTTCATTTTTCATTATTTTCCTTTATACTACTCAACACTAAGAATGATTATCTCTAGTCATGTAGAAAGTTGTGTTGAAATGAAAGAAATGAATATAAAAACAGTTCTGATTTATTTGAATAATGATTATCAAAATAAAAAGAAATTAATGAAGTATTGATTTTGAATAATTTCAATTGTTTGATATTTCTGGTACTGAGCAATATTAAATCATCGACATTTTCAACACAATTATTTTTTTTTTAGAATATTTCATTCATTTAGGTTCTTTTTGTTTTAATTTGTTGATAGTTAATATTCATTATTCTATTTATTCAAAGGTTCAATTCTTGTGGATTAGTTAGACCAAAACAAATAGTAATGATTATTTGAGATGAAAAATCAGATATTTTTATGTATGAATCATAAGAGTATGAAAAGGTATCACAAGGATATATGTTTCTATTGAAAATAAATGATGAATTATTACTTATAGAGTATTAGAACAATAGTTCCTGTACTATCTTCTTTTTTTTCAATAATAGTATAACATAATATACTGTTTTTGAATTATTTATTGTCTTTTACCTGTTAAATAAGATGGTGTTAGTATGAAGATCAACTTAAATGAATTAGAATAAAAAAACAACAGATAAATTGTTCAATAAAATAAGTCTTTATGAAGAAAAAGAAGAATAACATAAAAATAAATTTTTGGTTTAAAATTTGTTTTTTAAAAAATATGGAAAATTTTAACTCAAAAACTTTGTATTTACACAATATGAGTGAAGAAAACCAACAACAACCAGAAACACAACAAGTGAATCAAACAAGTGAAAAACAAGAAGAAAATGTTGAACTAATTGATATTATTAAAATTACTGATCAAAAACAAAAATGTGAGGAAATTGAAATGAATCAAAAAGAAATGTTTGTTTCTATTAAATAAAATGAAAAGACAATCACAAAATAGTCAAAGTATTATCAAAGATCAATTACAACATGTAGCTCATATTCAACAATTAATAAGTGAAAAATCAAAGGATTTTGATAAAACTATTGATCAATCTATTGCAATAGTCAAAGATACTAGAAATGACCTTCTTGTTATTCAAGCCAAACTTCAGTTTGATTCTTATTTCTATCTAACAATTAAATAAATATTAACTTTTAGAAATATGAGGTTAATGCTAAGATTACCAAATAAATAATACAATTGATTTTCATTTATTTATTAGTTTATTATTCATTAATCAATTACTGTACATCGAATCCATAAAATATCACCAAATGGAATATGGTCAACAGTAAATAACCGACATTGAATAATCCATGTTCCACATTGTTTAATCATAAATTCATAAGAAACTTGAATAATATTACTATGTATAATTTGTGGAATTATAAAAGTACTTTTAGTTGGAATTAGTGCATTTCCTTTCCACTGACCAATGTAACATCCTTTAGGCCATTGTTGATTTCCACTATTTTGAACCATCCATATTTTTATATGTTTTTCATTTTTATGAATAGTTTGTAAAGATTTAAATGTTACATCTCTGATAAATTCCATCTGATATCCAACTTCCTTCTTATTATAATCAGTTTCTTCTTTTATTTGACATTTCCTAATAAACATTTGAGTAATTAATTTACATTGACTTTTAAATTCTTCATCTTTTAATATTGTATTTAATTCTTTCCAACACATAAGTGATTGAGATAAATGAGGTAATATAAGAATTTCAATGATATTCATTATTCCTTCTTTTGTAGAAATCATCCCATTTTCATTCTCAAAAATATGTAGACTCACAACTCCACTTCCTTCTTGATAAAATCTAATCCAATCATTTTGATTAGTAATAACTGATGGTCCATTTAAACCACAATAAAATAAAACTCTTTCTTTTGGAAGTTGTCTAAAAATTGTACGTAATTTCTTATCAAAAGATTTCAAATGAAACATTTTTTGATCAACAACAATTCTATGATGTTCAACACCACAACAATCAACCTCAACAAGAAATTGTTTTTGCATAATTATTGTATCTCATAATTAATAACTTCTTTATAAATCATTTTATTAACTAAACTTATCAAAATCAAACAAAAAGTTATTTCTATTCAACTTAATTAAAGTTCCTCTTTGATTGTTTCATCACAAGGACAATGATATTTGTTTTGGTTACATTCAACATGATAATCAATTAATCCAATGCAATACCTTCCTAATTTTTTATTGCACATTAAGTGATATTCTTCTTTCTCAACTTCATTAATAAAGTCATAACTCTCCTTAAAACTATATAAATCAACACATCGTTCATTAGAGTTCATTAAAATAATATTTGTTGTATTCCATTGATTAACTCTACCAAATTGAATATTGAATATTGGATTAAATTGATAATTGTTATCAACAATAATAGTTGATTTACCTTTGATAGAAAGAGAATAACAAAAATCATGTGAATTGTTATTTAAACATTCTTTTGATAATTTCTTACCTGAAACAGTAATTGTAGTATTCTTTCCAATATTCAGTAATGAATCTCCACTTAATTCAAAGGAATTAGATGATATTATTGTTGATTCTCCAGTATTTAATGTTGTATTATATAACAAAAATATACTTGATGCATTAACAATACTATTACTTCCTAGTTCAATGACAGCCTTTGAATATGATGAGATGTATTTCTTAATATTAATATAAACATTATTCTTAATATCTAAGTGAGGTGTTTGAAATACATAAATGTTATTAGTTATTAATTTAACGTTATCTTCAATAGAAATAATAGAAGTACCATAAATATAAAGATTCTGACATTCAAATAAACTCATTGAACCAATATGAATTTGTCCATTATTAAATACATTAACAAAATATCCATTAATTTGAATAATACATTCTTTTTCTATTGTAAGTATAGTATTATCATATAATTCAATTTGGTTGTTAATAACTAAATGACTTCCTTCTTTAAAAAGAATTGATGAATTTTCATATCCTATTAGACTATCAAAAATAATTATTTCACTCTCATTTCCATTAATAAATAAACCATTTGATTTTAATATAACTCTTCCTTGTTTAACATTAAAATGTCCATTATTGTTAATTTCAAGTGTAGAATTCTCTTCAATAATAACATTTCCTTGAACTTCTAATGTTCCTTTAACAATAACTTTACTTTGTTTAATTTCTATTTGTGGAATTTCTACTATACTATCTCTTTCAATAATCATTCCATTTCTAATAATGCTATTTCTCATTAAAATAACATGAACACCACGTTCTACAAGTATTTTTTGCTGAATATTAATATCTTCATCTATTATAATTGTACAATTCTTTGATATATTGATTTGATTAATATCTTTCATTAACTCATCACATTCTTTAGTAATATAAAAATCTTTATTAATCTCTAATACTTGGCAATTTTCTCTATTTAACTTTTCATTACAATGATTTGAAATTGATTGACATGAAATCTTATTAGCATTAACAATACCTCTTATCCAAAAGAATGAGAAGATGATGAAAATCATTTCTTTAGCTTAAATCTTTTAAGTTCATCTCAACTTATTACGGAACTTCTCATTTCCTTTTTTTTTTGTTATTTTTATTATTTTTTACTTCTTTATTTATTAAATTATACTTTCTAATAA